ACCACGCTGCGTAGCTCACTGTATACCCCTCAGTGTGAATGTATCTTTTGTGGTGTTAGACTATTTTACTTCTGAATATATTTCATAGCCGTTAGAGAGCATGAAACAATTTTTCACTGCTATATTTCATGTCAGCATATTTTACGGATAATACCGTTATCTTACTTTTTATTTTGCGTTTATTTTGTGGATCGGGAGGGTATTCCTAGGTCGACCGAAGTAACTTATTTAAGAGATCATCATACCATTGTTTCATAAATAATGCAATAGGTATTAAATGTTTTTGTACCGGAAATACTTACTAGGTTTTAATTACGTAATAAAACAATATTAAATGACTGAGCACAACGGAAAGTTATTTCATACTGTGTGTGGTGATATCTGCCTACCAAGCATTCCTATATATATATCTTGTTCCAAATATAGCCTGTTCTGTAACTATATCCCTCTCACGAGGTTAATGTATGGGAAAGCCTATGCTCAACAATGCATTGTGAGAGATTTGCAATCGAAGGCCCTTTTTCTGGTAGTGAGGAATTTAATCTTAGTCCTCAGGGTGAACAACGCATCTGCCTTTTGACTCTTCATCGAGGATAGAGTTAGATGTTTACAATCATGATGACTGAATTCTAATTTGTCACTCATATTTGTATAAAAGGAAACAAGGCATTTGTGGCGTTTACACAAAGTTTATTACAGTTATTAATCCAGTGGTGACTTCAGTGCCAAACGACCTTTCATTTTGCTCCACACCACTGGTCTGGACTGGTCATGTGTCTAAGAGAAGATTAAATATAATCATTATCATCATAACTACAGCCTTTCAGAAGTCCACTGCTGAAAATAGGCCTCTAGAAAGAATGCCACAAAGCACGGTCCTGAGCCTCCTGCATCCAACGACTTTCTTCACGTTTTACCAGGTCGTCTACTTCTACGATGACGACGTCTACTCCTTCTAGTGAGAGGCCGCGCTAAACTTCGCCTATCAATACGAGGATGCCACTCGTTATACGTTGGTTAAATCTAGGCTTCGTTATAGCACATTATTCTGGGGAATTATTTTTAAATATAATGTTCAAAAGGCCTTTATCTAGCAAAAACGACCTATTGGAACAATTGTCCGTATACAACAACAGGAATCCTGTCGTGATTAGGTACTTAAAAAAACTTGGGATTATGACGGTAACATGTCTTTATATACACGTCTTACTCACCAATTTTTTAAAATTTATAAGGAATTACGAAACTACGGATGAAAGAAATATTAGGGAAAATACAAGAAGACAAGACTTTAAGAATAAAGTTCTTCCTGGTCAAGTTAGTATCAGCCAGTTCATTTATTTAACATATTACCAGTCGACCTAAAAAGTTATCTGTACATGAGTGAAAGTTGAAAAGAATTTTGTTCGAAAAATGATTTTATTGTGTTGATAACTTTGTTAACGATAGTGTTCGTTCAATTTAATATTATTGTAACGTAATCTAAATTCTATTATGACGGTTTTGTCATTAATAAACCTTCAAGAAAAGAGCCTACACCTTTTTAAAAGGCCGGCAACGCATTCGCGATTCCCCTGGTTCCCCTGGTGTTGTAGTTGTTCATGGGTGGCGGTAGCCACTTACCATCAGGTGAGCCGCATGCTCGTTAGCCCTCTCTTATAAAATTAAAAAAAATATATACTTTCTTCACCATCGGTTGTCGGTGTTGTATGGCCGACCGATTGTCATTTCAGCTTACTAATCCGTTGCGCTATGTCGGTTATACGTACCATCAACAAAACCTATTGATATGGATCCGAATTACGTCATCTTTCTAACATTTTCCATCAGAAATAAGACGATGAATTCACTTCCGTTACAACCACACGATGCGCATTTATTTAAATAAAAAGCCATCATTTAAGAATATTATAACTTAAGAATATAAAATGGAACTTTATTCTTTACCTTATTCTAGCTGGGTTGATATTTCTAGTCGTATTATAAATCAAAAGAAATGCACTTTAGGAAATGGAGTTCTAGACAAAGGACTCGTTACTACAATTTCAAATGAATCTCACTCTTGAATAAGATTATCTGATGTTATATAAAATGTATTAAAACCCATGAAACATCAGGGGGATAAGCGCTCAGCTTTAAATTTTATTCTTTAAAAGCAAATTGAGTTTGATCCCTGCCACTTGTTCTGTTTTACCACGTGCTCGATAGTGGAGAAAATTGTCGTGCAGAAATTAGATGTATACGCGGTATATACCTGGTGTTGTATACCTGGTAGAGCCATGCTACAGCTATATTATTGTTGTATCACGAATGGGTCAGCTCGATCAGGAAAGGACCACGCTCACACAGAATACCAGCATAAAATACCAGCGTAATACTGCTGCATTTCGTAAGTTCAGTAAAAACAACCGGAGACCCTTTTTACTGGAAACGAGGCATTCCATCTTAGTCCTCGGAAGTGACAACGCATCTGCCTTTTGATTCTTTATCAAGGATAGATGTGCATGTCTATTAGCCATGCAAACACCATTGGGTGAACTGTGTGCTCGTTTGTCACCCTTATTCTATATAACAAAAACATCTATTAGAAATAAAAAAGTAGAGGAAATAAACGTGATAGAGCCATGCTGCAGCTATATTAGTAGTATATTTGTAGCACGAATGGGTCGGCTTGACCGGGGAAGGACCACGCTCTCACAGAATACCAGCCTAAAATAGTAGCTTAATACTGCTGTGTTTCGTATGGCGAGTGTAGAGAAGCGGAGACCCTTTTTACTGGAAAAGAGGAATTCCATCTTAGTTCTCACAGGTGACAACGCATCTGCATTTTGACTCGCAAACGAGGATAAATGTAGATGTCTATGGGCCACAGCAACCACTTACCGTCAGGTGGAGTGTGTGCCCGCTTGTCACCCTATCCCATAAAAAAAAAACAAGAAGACGTCTGCTAATACACACTGGGGCAATGAGTCTAGCACTTTGCTGCCCAAAAATCTAGTGAATAAGACGAAGCCTGTGCTCATTAGTGAGATAAATATTGATCATTGTTATACTTTAATAAAATTTGCGATAATGAAATAACAAACGTTATCAATGTTTTCAATTTGTACTATAATACGAGGAATTCTATTATCGTCAATTCTATCAAGTATTATTATCATTACTTTAAGAGCACCTTTCTGGATATAAGTATTTTCTAGAATGCACCATCAGCCAGGCATTTTTTGAAAGAACTGCCAATAATCACCACGCTGGGCAAGTGGCTTAGCCACATCGCAGATCTAGGCCATATTCACGGTATTCCTAATGCTGCCCCATTAACAGTGAATGGGATCCGCTCTATAAGACGATCTATGAGGAGGGCTGAGCTCAGCTGTGGACTTTTGTTAAGCTGTAATAAATGAATTTTTTGCATTTTATATATATACTATATATATTACTATATTACTTTATTGTACACCACAAATACGATAAAAAATAGATTAAATTGCCTTATCATTAAAAATCTCTTCCAGACAACCTTAATATTAGGAGAAAAGTGTACTATTGAAAAGTAGAACGCAGTATGCGTATTATAGCAAACTTTCAAACTAATACCTAATTGCAATACTAATTTTACTAAGTTTAGCATTGCAAAACTTTTGTTTAATGTTAGCTGTAGAAAGTTTTTTTAAGCAGTACCTTTGATCTGGCCGATCACGTCGCGAATCAAATTACAGCACCAGACAGGGAATCCAGGAAATCAAGTTGAAAACTCTCACGCGAAAAGATAAGTTAAAGGATTTCGGAAAATTTTGCATTGCTTAAGAAATACGCAATAATAGAGTAATTGAAAATTTTAACAATTGATTAAGAACCGCGTAATAAAAGTAGGCATTCTGAGGTAACCGCGTATCACATTATCGGCAGAGTTTATTTCACTCTACTTAACCTGAAAATGCCTCGTGTAGAGGCGAAACACGTGTCATATTATGAACGGTGGTGTGTCTTACCTAGTGTAGTGGTGATGGGAGTAGTGGTTCTGGTATGAGTGATGAAGGGGATACTGCACGCAATTTAAGCATAAGAAGACCCATAATTTTGTTTTATTCTTAGCTAATACATTTTTAACATCTTTAACATAATGGATTTCCACAAAGTAACGCCTGATTCTATAAAAAATATACGATACAGTAATACAAAGTTACATTTTCCCTGTTTGTGGAGTTTTTACTCGGTGGAGCCATGCTGTAGCTATATTGTGGTTATAGCACGAATGGGTCGGCTCGACCGGGGTGGGACACTCTCACAGAATACCAGTATAAAATAGCAGCTTAATGCTGCTGTGTTTCGCGTATGGTCAGTGTAGAGAATCGGAGATCCTTTTTACTGGAAACGATGCATTGCATCTCAGTCCTCAGGGGTGGCGGCGCATCTGCTATTTGATTCTTAGTTGAGGATAAATGTAGATGTCTATGGGCCACAGCATCCACTTACCATCAGGTGAACTGTGTGTCCGCTTGTCACCCTATCCTATAAAAAATGGCGACGGGAAAGACTGAGGAGGTTTTTGAAATCCTCCGTGATCATGGGACCTTGGATGTTGTAAAATACTCGAAACATCGGGAATTTGAAATAAGTTAATATACGCGATAAAATACGTAAATCTTAGTTTCAATTAAGTGTGTAGGTAGTGTTCGCGTAAACTTAAGACATCATTACGTTGATTAAGATTTTCTATAGGTAGCTGAAAATAAAGTGAAAATATGCAAGATCGTAAATATATTCTCTGTTTTAACTGACGGTATGTATCATTGCATATCGCATCAATATTTGATCCGATATCATGATAAGCGCTCAGAATCACATTTCTAAAGAGACACTTAAAGATAAAATATTATTCAGCGTATTACTACACATACAAGAGAGCTATTTCATATAAATTCCAACTTATTATTTTAATATCGACTGTTGTTACCTATAACATTAAAATAAATACGGAGCTTCATAGTTTTATTGAAATGCCGCTGTTCAAAGTAACGTTATTAATTTTTGCTATTATTTTTATATGTATCTCGAATTGTGATCACTTGAATGTTGGTACCAGTGTGAACAGTATGTTGGCATACGTAGAAGAAGTAAAATTGTCTGCTATACCACTTAAAATAAGAACAAAGAACGTATTTTATAATAATGGAACACATCCGAAGGTTATTAAGGTAAGTGTTAATATAGCAGCGTTAATATTTAACATTTCCCATAATTTGTGAAACTGGAAGACCCATTTCTCTTATTATAACACCCAACTTAAATAAATTAAAAACGTACTTTGTAATTAGCTTTTGACAAAATACGTAATTATAGTATTACGTTTCTGTTAAATATTTAAATTGTAAAACACTGCAGTTTATGAACTGATTCTTATTATAGTTACGATTGACACAAATTAAAGCTAAAGAAAAAATTGTTAAATAATAATTATTGAAAAATTTTAAAAGTGATTCTTTTTAAATTTTTCATTAATTATAAAAATAATCATATCTATAAAAGTAAAATTTGAAGTGTCAGTAGCCTAATGGCAGGGCGCGGACCGCGAACTCGATAGGTTGTGGGTTCGAATCCGCCATTCGACTACTATCGTGAACCACTTTTAACACAAGCATTTTAAGCTTACAAGAAGTGGTTACAGGGAATATTGGGAATGTTTAAGAGCATTACTAGTATTTAAAAAAAAAAAACATTAATAAAATCTACATTTTGGTATCCCTTGAATAAGAGGAATGTGTGTATAGGATTTCTGAATTGCTTAGTTTGGCGGACAGTGGTGCTGTGTGACATTATGTTGAGAGTTGTGATTTATAAAGATTCATACGCTGAAAACGGTCGGTCGAGAACCTGTCCAAGCAATATAAATACTGAGTTAATGCTGGAACTACAGCGCAGAAATCGTTAGGTCTTGAGTTTACAAGTGTTTTGCTATGAAGAAGAATCAAACAGTGTCGAAATCTTCGCAACTAATAAATAAAAATACGGAGTTCAAATAGATGAATCTTTAGAAGTAAGCATAAGTATAGTTACATCTTTTCTTAACACTTCCATAATTTTCTATTTAATGCAATATTGCTTATGCAGTTGGTACTTACCTCAGTAATATTATTTCTGTTCATTAGTTTACTTTTTTCTTAATCATAGGTACCATCGAGATTGACACAGTCACCTTAACAGGATCTTAATTATTATTTATATTAGTAAGCGTACACAAGCAGGAGTATAAGAATGTAGTGTGTAACCACTTTACGTGAAATGCCAAACTAATCTGTACACAGTGTAATGTACATATTAAAGAGTCTTTAACCACCGCAGAATAGCAGTATATACTTCTGAAACGGTGAAGTGCGTGACAACTCTGGATAATAACCCTCGATCAAGTGATCAAATAAAAAAAAATTGTACAACCGACAAAAACCACAAAATCCAAGACAACCGAAAAAAGTACAAAATAATCAATGTATTCAAAGTCAATTATATCTATTTGCTATTAGATAACTCATAAACTACTAATCAGATCTCTACCAAATTTATAGGAGACCACATGAGAAACACCGACTTTCAAATAAAAAAAAGAATTATTAAAATCGGTTCACCTTGACAAATGTTCTGAGACATCACACATAAAAAAGTTAGAATTGAGAACCTCCTGCTTTTTTGAAGTCGGTTGAAAATATTAAGCAATGTACATTCCCCACAGGGGATTGTATATTTTCATCAGTGGATTTTCGATAGGTCGTAAAGGTAATGGAAAAGTAAAGGTGAGAACAAAACTAAGTCGGACTATAGTCTCGACACATATACAGGGTATTTTGTAATAACCAGTCAAATTTGCAGAGAAGGTTCATAATAAGTAATATAGACAAATGATGAAGAAAAATTAAATAAAGAAATCTCAAACTTTCTGTCATTTTTATCTTTTAAATTCAAAATACGTGTACCTAATGGTCACTCGGTAAAGTACCTTGCCGCGCGTCTTCCCGAGCCCTCCTATCGTTACACATATTAAGGCGCATAGTTGAGCAAAATGTCGCGCTAGTCGTTATTTCTGCAGTTTTTAGGAGCTATCTTCTTTTTATTTAAAAGATATATCAACAAATAAAAAACATTTTATATTTCTACATAATCTTGGTTCCATAAGAGTCATATCCAATTTTTTTTAAAAGGAATAAATATTAAAATAATCTCCTTACAACGAAACCACATAAATGTGAAATAATTATTGATAACATGCATCTTCTCGTAAATTAAGCATTACTTAATTTTGCGATTGACACTAATAGATAGGCAATTTATTAATAAAGATTTCTATCATAAAATTTTTTCAAAAGACCAATATTTGATTTTATTAAGAAATTATTATAAAAACTGGGCGTATTCACTGTCCACGGGGTTGTTGAAGTCAGTGAGCGCTAAGCTCTTGAAGGTGAAACCCGTGTGAAACGCGTGTATTTTCTTTGAAGTAAATGCAAATATAAAAATGAAGCACCATTAGCATGTAAGGTTCGAATCCATAATTAACATTTCGACAAATATTATAATTTACACTATAAAAAGCTAATTCAATATTATCAGTATTGTATACAGTTGAAAATAATCCAAATACCTAACCAAAATATCTTAGTAGGTATAGTAATTCGGTGAAAAGTATCTAAGTAGGTATTAATATAGCTACCCAGTATAACTAATCACAATAGGTACCTATGTAAGTATTATGATTAGATAAAAGGTACTTATTTAAATAGTTACCTACTTTTACTAAGTAAGTACTAATACCTACCCGGGCATCATTTAATTACAACCTAAAAACCTCTAGTATAACTAAACTGACCATTTATTTTTTAACTCAAAACGGGACATGGATTTATTTATACTCTAAAAACTATAACTTTATACAATTAGTGTTCACTATAAAATTATATTCGGAATAGACCGTAATTATTAAATGTAACATATTTTTTTTAAATTATTAATTTTATTTGTCAGTGGAACAATTTTGCTTACATTAAGTGTTTTTTGAGACGTCCACAATTTATTCAAAATAGAAAAATACTCTTTCTACTGGAGCATTTGTACCAGGTAGGCATAAAATATATTCGATTAAAAAAATATGTTGAATATTGTTGGTGCGAAAGACTTTGAATACTTCCATCCAACGAGTTACGGGACAATTTTATGTCCCGGAGCTTTGTTTGGGGGACAATGGGATAAGTGACCGAGAAAAGGGACAGTCCCGTTCAAAACGGGACGTATGGTCACTTTACCTATAACCCATATACTTCTTGTTGATTTTTGTATTACATAATTTAAAGTTACCCCCTTATGTATAAATAAATATAATTACGTATGTAGAAATAAAATTGAATAAAATAAAAACAAACATGTTTTTTTTTCATCATAATCAATCATTGGGGTGAGCCAGCATAAGTAATAAGCAGGCTAAGTTACAAGGTGCTCAGTTCAAAAATTTGTAGGTAGGTGTTTTTACTTTTCAATACGTGACACGTAAAAATTAACAATAATCAAAAACACATCTGCGAAACATCCTGTTTATTTATTTATTCTTTATTGCACCAACTATTTGTACAAAAGGCGACCTATCTATCTATTTACCTTTAGTGAGTAGGTATCTGTTAAACTCACGATTTTGAATGCTTCATTTTTAAATATAATTATAATTAATTATAAAATTTCAAAATTAGATAATATATGAGAATACATAATTCTAATATAATACAAATAATATAACGAGTAAAAAAATTAAAATACATTTATCGTTGTACGCCGTGTGTATTTCCATAAAATAGTTTATTGATGTTGAAAAAATAATAATACAATCGTACAGTAGGTGGCGTCTTGCATATTTCTTACGTTATATATTGTAGCGAGTAGTCGGCGTACCGAATTGCTCAAGGTCATTCGCATGGAGTAGCCCCTTCAGTACCTATGTCCGCAAGCCCGCCCGATAGCTGACAGTGTTGACCGTGACCTCATTACATACGCTTCGTTACCAATGATGTAACGAAATTTTTGTAAATAGTTTATTCCAATTTTGTATATTCCAATTTTTTAAATACGTTATAATAATTACGACGAGTAGTTTACGCCGTTGATAAGCTAAAATATTAGTTTTATTTATTATGAAGATCCTAAGCCTGTTTTTTTTTTATAGAAGAGGGGCAATCGAGAATACGGCTCACCTGATGATAAGCCGATGATTACTGCCGCCCATGAACAACTGCAACACCAGGGGAATTGCAGATGCGTTGCCGGCCTCTTAAAAAGGAGTACGCTCTTTTCTTGAAGGTCCCTAAGTCGTATCAGTCCAGAAAAATCTCTGGTGGTAGTCGATTCCACAAGGAAGTTGTAAAGAAAACTAAACCGTTAAAAGTGTGAAAGGAAACTTGAAATCATAATTCGCGTCATTTTTTATCTTAAGCATAAGTTGTAAGGTATCGTTTATTGATTCAAAGTATACGGTACGCAACCCCCATCAACACACTCACAATCTTTACTACGTTTTTAACGAGAGACTTGTGGACGATAAATCCAACACTTCCTTGGGACGGATGGTCGCCATTCCGGTGAGAGAACAAGTTGCAGGATTCGAGGATAACTGTGTCCTCCCCCTCTCTTCGGAACGCAGATAATCCTATAATATCCCAGCGCAACTTGTCTATCTTTTATCGAGCTCCAGGATTCTCTCGTCTCGTCTCTCGTCTTCAGGGTACGTGCGTTATATGTTGCCAGGTCGAGTTGTCGTAAGTGGCAACCGAATCTCCACCAGAGATTCTTAGCACCTGCTGCGCCGCCATTACTGTGGTTGCCACCGTAGCCAGGAATAGCGAGACCGCCGGGGACTGGGCGCCGTCTTTTTTAACTTTTGTCTTGGGGGTATATAGTTGCCACGCTTGTTATCAGAAAGATAATGCTGCCCATCTCAGTCTCAGTTTCCCTCTGTCACATTTTACAACACCCACGGGAAGATATGGGGTAGTGGGTATACTTCCCGCCACTACACTAGAGTAGTAGACTGTTTCATAAAAGATGGTTAGGATGTTTAGTTAGGTTAATCAAATTATTTACTAGTTACAACTTAAGCACCAATGTTCAGAATGTTTTTATGTAAGGAATTTTTATCACTTATAACATTAAAAACTCGGAATATTCATAATTTGTCGCCGTTATCGAAATATAAATAAGCACTAAAATAACCGTGCAGTAGCGGTGTAACAACATCCAGTACCTCATATCATCCCGTCAGTATCGAAAGAAGCGACAGAGGGAAACAAATCAGAATCTTCCTAATAACAAAAAAAAAATGCGGTTGCAAATGATACAAAATATGAAGCAATTTATGTAGGAGCCCTATGTTCAGCAGTGGACTTTTTATAGGCCGTAACAGAGAATGAAAATACCTGTAACATTGTTATAAAAGTCATCTGGCGTAAATTAAGAACGACCAAGCATAATAAAATAAAAAATAATCCAAAAATGTGTAAGGATATATTTATTTTTTCAGGGCATTACAGCAGTAGATTATCTTGATTCAAAGGCCAAAGCGACGGTGACAGCTGGTGGTGTTGGATCAACTTTTGCCAACATAAAATTAAAAAGTGAGCGCGGAAATGGACTGAGTTATCAAGTACAAATATTTGTTTAACATGAAAATCACATTGCTTTTCGAAAAGCGTTAATTAAATAAATTGTTTATAAATATATAATTTTTATCATTTTCCCAGTGTGACCAGCTTCTGATGACCGCGTGGCTTAGTGGTCATCTATTACTGACCATTATGTCACACTGTTGGATATTGCGTAACCACTAGTAGGAAGAAATATTGGCGATAACTTCTGACGTAATATGATGTATGATATAGAATGCCTCAGGCATTTTTCTGGCATTTCCCATGTCGCCTCTTACGACACTCATGGACCTATAATATGAGGTGATTGATTCTCTAACACTATTAACTCTTTATAAAAAATGGTACAAAAACTACTTATTGCTTTAGTACCAAACATTACAACTGAAGAAAATATTTCATACAATGAAAGGGGCGTATTTCTGACAGTAAACTTTAACAGACTGAAGAAAGAGAAGTTAAGGAAGAAGCATACACTAATACACACACAGAATTAGGTGTAGTATACAAACAAGTGTGCACTAGTGCGTACACTAGTGGCACATAATCATCATTACAGCCCTTCACAAGTTAATGCCACAAAGCACGGTCCTGAGCCACCTGCGTCCATCGACTTCCTGCCTATCTCACCAGGTCGTCACTCCATCTAGTAGGGGGACGCCCTACACTTCGCCTGCCGGTACGAGGCTGCCACTCGAGAACATTTTTTCCCCATCGGCTGTCACTTACTAATCCGTTGGGCTATGTCGGTCACTCTGGTTCTACTGCGGATATCCTCATTTCTAAGTTTATCACGCAGAGAAACTCCGAGCATAGCCCTCTCCATAGCTCGCTGAGCGACCTTGAGCTTCCTTATCCGGCCAGCAGTAAAGGACCACGTCTCAGTTCCATATGTCATCACTGGCAACACGCACTGGTTGTAAAGTATCGTTTTCAAGTTTTGAGGTATACCTGACGAAAAGATGTGCCATAAGTTCACGAACGCTGCCCAACCGAGTTGAATCCGTCGATTGACCTCTCGGTCGAAGTTGGACTTACCTAGTCGGACTATTTGTCCCAGGTAAACATACTCGTCAACAACTTCGAGCTTAGTGCTCCCAATAACTACCGGCATAGGTTTGACATGGACATTAAACATGATCTTTGTTTTGTCCATTTTCATCTTAAGATCTATCCGTTGGGAAACACTTTTGAAGTCATTGAGCATAGTGCTTAGGTCCTCCAGCGATTCTGCCATAAGGACTATATCGTCGGCAAATTGAAGGTGAGTGATGTACTCGACATTGATGTTAATACCGTATCCTTTCCAGTTGTACTCCTCAGGCTTCTGTACAATTTGCCAAAGGGTATGTATGTGGTCTATGGTACTAAAGCCTTTTCGGAAACCGGCTTGTTCGGGAGGCTGGAAGTCTTCAAGTCTGCGCGCGGGACGATTCGTAATGACTCTCGAAAACAGCACGTAGACGCGGCTCAGAAGGGAAATTGGTCTGTAGTTCTTCAAAAGAGCTTTGTCGCCTTTCTGAAAGAACAAGACCACCGCAATTCTGCTCCACGCCTCCGGTGTTATGCCACCATGGAGGACGGAATTAAAGAGCTTCTGAAGGACTTCAAGTACCAGTTTTCCACCCGCTTTCAGAAGCTCCGCTGTAATTCCATCCTCGCCTGGGGCCTTGCCGTTTTTAAGGTGCTGAAGAGCCATTCTAAACTCACTCAGACTAAAGTTCGGGATATCATCGAAATAATGTCGGATAAGACTCGCTCTTGGATCGTTACTCACACTTGCGTGTGGCTCCAACGATGATATGTACAGCTGCCCATAGAACCTATCAATCTCACTCAAAATCTCAGGTGTCCCGGAAATGACGCTGCCACACTCGGTCTTCAGCTTTGACAGTTGGCTCTTTCTGGCAGACAGATCTCTAGCAAAGACTTTGGAGCCCTGGTTCCGCTCGATCGTTTCTTCAATACGAGTAGTATTAAAGTTGCGCAAGTCCCGCCGCATGCATTTGGAGATCTGTCTGTTCAGTTGCCTGTATGCTGTCAAATCTACTGAAGACAGCTTCATATCCCGCCTAACCACTATGAGATTAAGAGTGTGATTGGAGAGTTTTTGTGTCCTTCTGCGGCGGGTCTTGCAAAACGTAGCTCCGATCGCATGGACAGTTTCCACGAGCTTGTCATTCATATCGTTCACTGCATTGCAATCTTCTAGGCACTGAAAACGGTTTCGTAGCTCGAGCTGAAAGGTTTCGGGACTTTGGATTAGAGCACGAGGGGGACGGAGCGTTGACTTCATTAGACGAGACCTCTCCAACTTAACGTTTAGGTTCAGTGTGCCTCTCACCATTCGGTGATCGCTGCTGGTTTTCACCCTAGTGATCACTGAGACATCACTGAACAGTTATCGTCTGGTCGTCATAATGAACACAATCTCATTTTTTGTCGAACCGTCGGGGCTCGACCAGGTCTTCTTCCTATGGGGCTGCTTCTGGAAGAAAGAGTTCATCATAAAGAGTCCCTCTTTCTCCATGAAGGCGGCCAGCTGCTGGCCGCTTGGGTTCCGTTGGCCTATTCCGAATTTCCCTACTTTCAGCTCACCGTTCTCTCTTGTGCCCAATTTTGCGTTGAATTCTCCCATTAACACCGTATAGTGGGTTTTGGAGGAATGCTTGGCTCTAGAGATATCCTTATACATTTCCTCCACCTACTTACTCATCGGGGTGTGCCGAGGTTGGTGCGTAAACCTGTATGACCTTCAGCGAATACCGTTTGGTGATTCTGAGTGTAAGGTACGCAACCCTCGTCGACTCACTCCCAATCTTTACAACGTTGTTAACGAGAGACTTTTGGACGATAAATCCGACACCTCCTTGGGACAGATGGTCGCACTCCCGGTGATAGAACAAGTTGCCGGATTCGAGGATTACCGTGTCCTCCCCCTCTCTTCGGACCTCGGATAATCCTATGATATTCAAGCGCAATTTGTCTGTCTCTTCTTCCAGTTCCAGGATCTTCTCGTCAGTCCTCAGGGTGTGTGCGTTATAAGTTGCCAGGTCGAGTCGTCGTAGGTGGCAACCGAATCTCCACCAGAGATTCTTAGCACCCCCTGCCCCGCCGTTACCATGGTCGCCACCGTAGCCAGTAATAGCGGGGCCGTCTCTTTGTTACTCTCATTGTTGGGGGGTTTTTCCATAGTTGCCACGCTTGGCAAGCGGGTTGGCAACCGCATTTTATTTTATAGTAATTTGTTGTTATCAGGAAGCTGCTGCTGCTCATCTCCTGCCTGTTTACCTTTGTCGCCTTTTACGACACCCACGTGAAGATATGGGGTAGTGGATATTCTTAACCGCCACTACACGACATGTGTGTAGTACATGGAAATGCAATAAAGAGGAGCGTAATACATAGGAGAGTAACACAAAAAGAGTGATGTATTGTTTAATGTGCTTGAGTGTTTTTAAGTGTGTACACGAGTGGAAGTTTATATCTTTTCATAATAAAATAACTAATATAATACCGACCGAGGTGCAATGCTTAACTGCTACGACTTCACAAAAATTTCTTTTATTTAATAAAATTTAAATTAACTTTTATTAGCTATGTTTTTGCGTAGCAGACAATAAAGTAAAAATTCTTAGTATAACTAAAGAATATGTGTCATAGCAAAAAAAAAAATTGTTAATCCGATATCATAATCAGAACTCAGATTCACAATTCTGAAGCGACACTTAAGGCTACACTACTTTATTATTTTTCCTTGCTTACATAAGAAGCTGATTACTCCACCGTTTGATAATGTACGTCCAAAAAAATTAGCATAATATCGACTTGTCTCTTTATCTGTGCTTGCTTGCTTTGTACGAAACTGAAATTTAAAAAATAATTTGAAAGTTAGAGGCCTGGTCACGAATATTGAGCTTTAATAAATAACATCAGAAATACAAAAATATACAAAATATTTCACAAAGACGCATATTACATTTAATTAAAAATTTAAATAAGTTAATTTTGAACAGATATATTTAGCAGATTTTACACAAAAACCCTTCTCCTAAACATCTCTATAAAGATTTTTCCGCGCTCGTTCTTGATACAAATGTTCATGCATTTCACTTCAATATTCCACCCCGCCTGGATAGCAGAGGGAAGAGAGAATAGACGCACGCGCCAGTCCACGCTTTGCATAAATATGTTTTCAATTGTATTGTTTTGAAATTTATGACGGCTCTATAGTGCAGTAACTTAGAGCTCAATTTCGGCGCTGAAAGCAACGGGGTCGACTTCCGCATGGAACAAGTATTATCGTTACAAATAAATGTACCAGGTATGCATATTTGTCTTTTTTTATAGGATAAGGGTGACAAAAGAGTACACAGTCCATCTGATAGTAAGTGGTTGCTGCGGCTCATAGACATCTACGTCAAACAAAATTCAGATGCATTGTCACCCGTGAGGACTAAGATGGAATGCCTCGTTTCCAGTAAAAATCGTCTCCGGTTCTCTTCACTAGCCATACGAAACACAGCAGCGTTAAGCTGCTATTTTACGCTGATATTCTGTGAAAGCGTGGTCCTTCCCTGGTCGAGCCGACCCATTCGTGCTGCAACTACACCAGTAATATAGCTGCAGCATGGCACTACCACGTAAAAATGTGTCTTTGCGCAATTTATGTACATAAACTTCCTCCACGATATAAGATAAAATCCTAGTGTACATGTGTCTCGTATAATGTTCAGCCCTGGCATAGATCTTACCTCGTATATTAGGAATTTGTCCATAAATCCTATATTCGCATATCACGATTTTTGGATACAGGCGCAGATTAATACCTATACTACTAGATACTACGTTACAGATAGATAAATCTATTGTGGAACGAAATACCTACGCTTTTAATTAGCCAAGTTGAACAAACACATTCGTGCTCCTGCAACATAGCTCCACCATGTAGTACAACATGTTAGATAAGTTTTAAAACGTGATTTAATATTAACGTAGATATCAAAAACAGGTAGCG